TCACAGCCTCGCCGCGTCCCGCCGTCTCAGGGAGGAGAAATCGGCAGAGCTGCAGCTGAGAAAAGATTGTGTGTGTGTGTGTGTGTGTGAGGAATTGGTCCAAATGTAACGGCTCCGCGGACGTAACGTAACGGCTCCACGGATTGGTCCATTTGAGTATGGGCACGTCACTGTACCCAGAAAGAAAAAGAGAAATCTCCAACGAGGCGTTCTGGGGCAGCATAGACAGGTCTTTTCTGTGTTAGAGTGTTACTCGCTACAGGGTGTACTTTGAGGGTTTGTGACTCTGCACCGTTTACATGCAGAAGCTTCTTAACACACAAGGGGACGGGTAATAACCGGAAAAGCATGACATGGGACCTTTAAATATTTCATTAAGTGTTGAATGGAGGGCCATCATTCTTCTTTGTTCAGACATTGACGGTCCCCTCAGGATTTGACTTTTGTGATTGCCTGACTTTCCTCTAGCTCCACCATTATCTTCCACATTGTTGGTATTGTATCAGATTTCTCCCCCGCCTATTAGATGTACTGCCATGAAATTGGATTACTCTGAATTCTCTGCTCAGTCAAAACTTTGTGTACAGTACTTTGATTTATGTAAAAACACTTGCAAAAGAAATTATATTCAGCTTAGCTGTGCTTTGTGTTTTATTGCTACGAAGCAAATGTCAGCACGTAGACGGTAGTTGTTATCATTTCAGTATGCTAATGTTAGCATTTATCTCAAAGCACTGCTGTGTTGACACTTTGTAGTAAAAGATTATCTGTGTTGTTGTGTGCCAGTGAGTAACAGCATAAGATTTTCCCCACAAGGCTCATTAACGCATCGTTGCTTTTGCTCCTTATGTGTCCATCATCTATCACTGAGTGTAACAAGGCCAGGTGGCTCGGCATGCTTTTCTATAGTCTGTTACTAAAACTGAACTGCAAGGGTCATCCATCACAAGACCCTTGAATGTGTTAGATTGTGTTTGCTATAAATATATCATTGTCAAATTGTTCTTGGATGTTATTGTAGTGCTATGTAGATCAAATGCAGCTGCCACCTAAAGGCGCAGAGGAGTAAAAGGTCAGTCAGTGTTTCTAATGCAGTGTGTGCTTAAGTCAGTAAGGGGGCCGGCGGCATGACTTTGGAAATGAACTACTATCCATCACACAGCTCTCACGTCTCATTATGTGGCCACGCTGTGCTGATTTAGAATGGCATTGGTATGTGTGCACATAGCATGAAGACTGCCTGGACTCAGTCAGCCGGTGAATTGACGCTGGTCTCTGATCTCGTATACACACATTGAGCAAAGAGAATACTACTCCAGCTTCAGCGCCATATCTGCTGTTTTCACAATAGCAATGTGATACAATGAGCACCATTTTTTCTCATGTGCCCACTGTGTGTGTTGGCTGTCGGCGCCTGCATGCTCAGTTTAATGAGGCACTCTGGCTGCAGCGGCTGAGGAGTCTCATAAGATGCAGCTCCAGGCTGTTTAGCATACTGCTAATGTGTTTGCTCTCATAGGTTAACTAAAAGGGGTCACAGCATAACTACACTTCTTCAGGTATCAGGGATGGGAACTGTTCTACAAAAAAGCAATATGATGACAATGAGGTATATCAAATTTGTCATCTATCATAGATTTATGTTTCCCATTTAAAAGCTGTCCCTTTGAATGTCTGTTGAGTGTCTGCCCGGTGGTCCCTGACATGTTTGCCAATATTGCAAATCAATATTTGGACATGCTTTTCATCTGTATGGATTTGTGGTCAATGTAATGAATGACTTGGCTAGTGAGGTATTTCATTTACAATTTAGCCGTCAGAATCTGTCCATAAACCATCTTTTAAATTGATTTGAACCGTATCAAAAACACAGAAAGAAGGTTTTTCTTCCATGATATCTAACATAAACTGCACTGTATAGAGATTTTAGATACCACTTATGATTCTGTGATGATATCCATTTGTTTGACATGTTTTACTGTTGTCAAAATATGAACATACATCCCCTAAAAATACTTGTCCCAGTGTCCACGGGGAGCCGGTGTGCTGAAGCGTTGGTGATCGAGCGCTCAGCTGTGTAACAGCAGCTGGACATCTCACACAAACTGAACAGATACAATGTTGTCGCATTGGGATCACTTTGTTCGGCTCTTTTTGGGGAATGGAGAGTATTTATAAAATCATGTTGTCCTTCACAGTGTGGTCAACACTTCTTTTTATTATACTGTTTCTTGCTGTTCCATCTCCTGGGTTTACTTCCAGTCCAGTAATGGTTTTTGGTTTCATAGTTTATGTTACAACACACAGCCTCTGCTCATGTACAGTTACCTATTGCTGTATTTGAGTGTAGTTTTTACTGTTAAAGTCCTGCTATCACCTACCCAGTGGAGTGTGTAAAGGTCCTTACACACCGAGCCGATTTTGCCAAAGGCCGTCGGCCAAAGAAATCACTCTGATTGGCTGTTCAGCTAGCGAATCAGTGCATGAGAAGCGAAACGGAAGTGAGGGACCCAAACAAACGATTAAGAAGGCAAATCTGAGATTTCATTTAACTCCAGCTCTCGACACAGATTCGGGAAAGCCCCATGAGCTTCTCGCTGCAGAGTGAAAATGGAACGCACACGCTATTTGTTGTTTGTTTATATCACGCAGTCTGTTCTTCTTCTCTCGGTTATCACGCAGTCTGTCTTCAGGTTGTTGCCTCTTTTGAATGACGAATACACACTACCGCCGCCTGCTGGTAAGGAGAGTTATTGCCACTCACGCATGCGCAGTTCGTACGTGCTACTTGGCCGTCGGCTGAAGTCTTTGCGGTGTGTTCCAGACAGTGCGAAACATGGCCAAGACGCAGGAGATGTGATGCGTTTTTTGGTGTCAGTTTGGTGTGTAAGAGGCTTAGTGTTAACTCCCATCATCCCAAGGCCATCTGCTTTTCTCAGCCCATGAAAATGGATGGCTCCCTTGTTGCTCTTTAATGTGATATTGATCGAGCAAACTCCCAGCTGGAGGACAAAGGGGTGGGTGGGAGTGGCTTCCACATCCCTAGATATCAGTCGGACCCCTTTGACTCTGAACAGGAAACGCTGTGGAGGAATCCGTTTTAAAGACCCGAGTGAAACTGAAATATATATAATATCATAAATCAATTCTATTCTGAATGTCATCATATAGCTGCTATTAAAGTGGCCCTATTATTCATTTTGGGGGTTTCCCTTTCCTGTAGTGTGTTATATAGCGTGCATGTAAATGGTCTGCAAAGACTGAAATCCCAAAGTTCCCTGCAGAGGGAGTTTCAGACAGAGGGTGGAAAGAGGTGCTGCAGCACAGGCAGTTTGAGAAAAATAAGGAGCTTTTTGAACATCAACCCTCCTATTGTCTTCGTTCCCCCCCCCCCCCCCTTACTTTGGTGTTCGCGGTCAAATTTGACCGGTCCTGTTTTAACTGCTATTACATTAACACAAAAACCATTAATCATCACCACATTTCATTTAACACCCTTTCAAACTGTAAATATTGTATCAGACTACTGGTATACATGAAAAACTGCAGTAAATATACAAAGAACAGACACTGAACATGTATTGTGTGTACCAGGTGTGATCCATGTGGGGGGATGGGCACATAAGGTGTGTGTGTGTGTGTGTGTGTGTGTGTGTGTGTGTGTGTGTGTGTGTGTGTGTGTGTGTGTGTGTGTGTGTGTGTGTGTGTGTGTGTGTGTGTGTGTGTGTGTGTGTGTGTGTGTGTGTGTGTGTGTGTGTGTGTGTGTGTGTGTGTGTGTGTGTGTGTGTGTGTGTGTGTGTGTGTGTGTGTGTGTGTGTGTGTGTGTGTGTGTGTGTGTGTGTGTGTGTGTGTGTGTGTGTGTGTGTGTGTGTGTGTGTGTGTGTGTGTGTGTGTGTGTGTGTGTGTGGTGTGTGTGTGTGTGTGTGTGTGTGTGTGTGTGTGTGTGTGTGTGTGTGTGTGTGTGTGTGTGTGTGTGTGTGTGTGTGTGTGTGTGTGTGTGTGTGTGTGTGTGTGTGTGTGTGTGTGTGTGTGTGTGTGTGTGTGTGTGTGTGTGTGTGTGTGTGTGTGTGTTGGGGATTGGGCACATAAGGGGGGGGGAAACACATCTAGAGTATGTGCGTGTGGGTGTGTGTTCTATCTGATCCGGATGAACACCATGGGTGTTACAAAGTTGACTAAATCATCCAAAATTCAATGAAAGTGGTGATCAGCTATTGTATATGTTCAAATGTCTACTGTGAAGGATATCATAAAGCCTTAATGCAATCGAATGTAAAACAAAAAGTTATGATTGATGAAAGTAGTAAATCGGTCAGATTTGACCCGAAGACAACAGGAGGGTTAAAGCAGTAAAAATGTCATAGTAGAGGCACAACATACATATTTGTGATATTTGTGACATTTCATTTACTACATTTGGTTTTATTGGTTTGAAACTATAGAGATATAAGTCTGACTTTCAACAGTAAAGTTATGTGATTTGTAGCAAGTCCCATGGGCTTTAAATATTGAATAGAAAATATGACTCTGCATGTAAACTACACAATATGACACCCCAAGAATGTTAAGTGCAGTACAGAGAAGAACTCCTGCTGACTAGAATAATTAGCAGTGCTCTATGAGTGCCCTCTTGAAAGTACTTTTCATTGAGATGAACACATTTCGCATTTCATTAAGCATTGATGGTTTAAATGTAATTACTTTGGTGCATCCACAAAAAGGAGCTCATTTCATCACCAGATGTTAGATCAGAAACCATTTAAAGGGAGTGTCAAGTCTTTCAAAAGCATTGTTATTGAAGACATTCATATTAACCTAAAGCGAAAACCAAGATCAGGGAAACTCAATTGATGTGGATCTATTTTCACATCCTTCATTTCAGGATGCTCCTTGTCTGTTTACTAAGGGAGGGGTTTCATTTTGAGTACAGAGATCAAACTGAGTAAGCTGCTTGTGGTCTTTTTGCATTCTTTTGTTAATTACTACTTTTTCTTTTTCAGGTTCAACAGAGGTCGCCCCTGCTTGGAAATAGCCCAGCGTTTTTCTACAGTACACTTGCTCCCTCCAGTGGTAAGATACAGCTACAACATCAACATGACAACAAATTGCAATATGTCACACATCTGTTCCGTTCATGTCTTTACAACGACTACTACTGGGCAAAAATAAATGTGTGTATGATCTGTATCCAAGAAATATAAATGATTTGCTCCTCGTTGTGTTGCAGACTTGTCTTTGAAGTACAAACATGGCCGTTTGGTTCTGGAGGTGCCATTGCCCTCCAGAGATGAGATGTGTCTGTTCTTCCTCAGACCCATGCTGATGAGCGTGGGAGACCTGATCTCAGATCTGCAGAAAGAGGACCCCGGGGCCAAGGCATCCATTTTGTCCAAGGGTAGGACAACATGACAAGTGTTAGCTACACACTACACAGATGGTGGTTGGTGGCATTGTTGAGCTTACAGTCAGTCAAGCCTGACCATTTGTTATGTAACCTGGTTAGACAGGTTCTTTGTTAGAAGTGAAAGTTGAAGAGCAGTTTGGCACGATGCCTGCAAACAATATTTTAACAACCCATTATCTTATTATCTATACAATGACTAAGCTGGTATTGTACTTTCTTAATGTGCATGAGGTGCTTTCACTTTTAGAGGCAAAGGTTTTCAAAAGAAAAAACAACATTTTAGAAAAAAGACTTTCTGTCCTGTTTTCTAAAACCCTCATTACTGTATATCCTGCCATTATTGCAGGCTGATAATCTGTTTAAAAAATAAATAAATAATGTTCTGTGCTCCCCTCAATGCTTCCAAATGCATTTGGACTTTGATTAAACTGTCAAACAGGCAGCACCGATCAAGTATGAATCCAGTTTCTGTTCCTGCATTGCCTATTTTTCGCCTCAAATGTTTTCAGAAACATATACCTCTTAGCTGTAAGACGAGAATGTTTGCCAACCGGCTGTCGAGCTAAAAGCAAGCATCACCCGCCAACTTATAATTGTACAGCTAAACAGTCCAGCGCTCCTGCAGAGCATTTGAAGTAGAGGCTGCTTCTCATATTCTGCTGACTGGAAAAACCTGCTTTTTTTTTCCAGTAGCCATTCCTCTGTTCAACAACACTAGCTGGCACATTGTTCAGAAGCTGCTGATAAGTAGACGGGTTCCATTCAAGGAAATAGGACACGTTGTATTTGAGTTGGACAGATCTGGTATTATATGACATTGGAATCATCCTCATGTGTTTCATTCCTTTACAAGACCTCCAGTTTTGCAATGATGAATAATTGTCTTTGCACTCACTCTTTTTATGAAGTGTATTTATGATGTATGGTTATTCAGCTTTACTGTGCTTATTTTGGTAATCTACCAGGAAACCTTTTTTGCAGTGCTATAAAAATATAAAGTTACATGATGGAAATAAAGTACTGAGTTGGACATCTGTCCTCTTCTGACAGATGGAGAGCGTGTAACCAACACCACGCTGATAGACGCCCTGCTGGATAAGGACTTCCAGCTCGTCATCAATGATGCCGTTTATAATGTCGTCTCTCCTGAAAAGGGTACCACACATTTCTGTCCTATCAGATGTTTTCTGCTTAGCAATTATAACTTTGGCCAGCTGATAAGCAGTAGCAGTTATCTCTCCAGTCACGACTCATCTTAATATCCCACCCTCATCCACCCTGTGTGTTGCAGTGGCTACCAGTGAGCAAGCCATGGAGATGGATGACATGAAGCATGTCGTGCATCTGCTGCACACGGCACTCCACATGCCTGAACACCACCTGCTGAAGGAGAGGCAGCTGCTGGAGAGACAGGATGTCCTCAAACAGGAGCTGTCCCCCCTGGAGGAGGTAGTGGATACGTCTCAACATCTGCATCTATTACACCTCTCTTTCTCCTTGTTACATCCTTTGTTTTTGAAAAGGAACCGATGCCATTTCTGTCCTGTTAGTTCTGTTGGCTGATAACCTCCTCCTCCTTGTGTCTCTGCCTGGCGCTGACAGATGAAAGCTCAGCTGTCCCGGTCCGCAAACTTCCACAGCGCCAGGGTGGTGTGGACCGGCCTGGCCCTGCTGTCTGTGCAGGGCGGGGCTCTGGCCTGGCTCACGTGGTGGGTTTACTCATGGGACGTCATGGAGCCCGTCACGTATTTCATCACCTACGCCACCAGCATCGGAGCCTTCTCCTATTATGTCCTTACCAAACAGGCAAGTCTCAGGGAATAAAGACACACACCTCTTTCTCTTCCTGTTTCCAACTCTGTTTTGATACAAAGGAAAGGTTCAAAATGTGTCCAAACAATATCAATGTTATGTCCGTACATACAAAATTAACAACAGCCAGCAGCATTTAGATTAGCCTAGCATAAAGACTGATAAACACTAGCCTGGCTTTGTCTGAAGATAACAAAATGTGCTCACATAGACATTGTTGGTGTTTTATGTGAGTTGAATTGCCCACCACCATTTCCTGTCTCTGCTGCTTGTCTGTCAAACTCACTTTGATTGCACTACTCAAGGAAGTCACTGTGGCATGCCTTGAAGTATCTCGGCACGTAACGGTAGACCGTAAAACCACACATTTCCTTTTTACATTTTGTGTATTGTATGGATTAAAAAAAATCTAGATTTGTATGGGTACATTTGTGAGTTTCATTGGGTGTATTATGATATCTAAGGACAGAGCCAGGCTGTTTCCCCTTTTACAGGCTTTAAGTGAATTGCTTGGTAGCTGTTGGCTATGATTTCATATTTCACTGACAGGTCAAAAAGTTTGGTAAAAGGATTAACACATCTGAGACACTCTATGTGTGCAGATGTGTTTTCCTCTCCATATTGATTTTAATCCAATTTTATTTTTTCCCCTCAGGATTATTTATACCCAGACGTTAAAGACAGACAGTTCCTGCATTCCTTTTATAAGGGGGCCGGCAGGAAGAAATTCAACGTGGGAAAATACAATGAACTGAAGGATGAGCTGGCTGAGGTTGGTTGATTGGTTACACTTGTTATAATCCAACATATACAGACACTTAGGAGTCACTGTCTTCCTCACTGACATGTTAAGGGAGGCGTGTGGCGTTGTCCGTTGGTGTTTGGATCAGGGTGTCACAGGTTCAAACCCCACTGCAGTCAGCATGTCGTTGTGTCCCTGGGCAAGACACTTCACCCCAAATTGCTCCTGTGGGGATTGCCCACAGTATTGAGTATGTAAGTCGCTTTGGATAAAAGCGTCTAACAAGTGACATGTAATGTAATGTTCAGGACACTTCGAAAAGTAGGAAGAAGAAGCTACAGTTTAACAATGTCATACTTAAAACAGTAAAAGAGCAAAATTACAAATCAGAAGAAAATCTACAGCCATGCTATCATCTTCGTAGGGCAAGTGCTTTGAGAAAAATGCTTATGTTTGCAATCTAACGTGCTAACAACGACAGTGTTTCACTTGCTTATCATTAGCAGATAACATGGTTACAATGTTAGTCATATTAGTTCAGTGTATTAGCATGCCAACATGTACAAATAAGCACCAGAAGCAGAGTACAGCTGAGGCTGATAGTAAGTCATTATTTATGCTATACAAACAACATGTTCGACCTCATGGTGGCCCTAAATGAATAGTTAGTGAATCATAGTCAACATATGTGTCTGACCCAAATGTCATGCAGTCCATGCATTAATCGTTAGGTCATTTAACTCAAAACTACACATGTAAACTGCTAATGCTGCTAGTGAGGCTAAACACAAGTTATAATACAATTAAAGTTGTTTAAAAATGTGCCTTGCCTTCTAAAAAAATCAGCTGAATTGTTGGTTAGATTATTAAATAGTTTGTGTGACTGTGTTTTCTGTGCGCCAGGTGGAGGAGGACCTGAGACGTCTGAGAAATCCGACTCAATTTCACTTTCCACTCGAACAGATCCAGCCGAGGCCATGAACGAAGCCAGGCCATGAACAACGGTCACACTCAAACACTCCAGAGCAAAAACAAATATTCTGCTTTATTTTGATAATGGTGCCTTTTTACCAGGAATCCATGTCATTCTGTGTTTTCTTTACAGTCTTGATAATGATGCCAATTATGTCTTTGAGAAAATGCCAAACACTGACGACTATTGAATTAAAAATAATTGCCCGAACATCAGGAGAATCTCTCGTCTTCCTTATGTCTTATTGTGGAAAGGTTGTACTTAACCCTTATGTTGTGTTCGGGTCTCCCGTGACCCGTTTCAAGTCAAAATTATATAATAACTACGCTCTAGTTTTTTGTGTCGGAACAAGGCTTCATGATATCCTCCACAACAGCTTTATAAACACTACAAAACAGATTTTGACCATTTTTGCCAAGTCTAAAGCTCTCTAAAAGTGTATAAAGTGTATCATTTGGTGTTCGGGTCTGGGGAGACCCAGCAGAATGGTTTTGGGTGACTCAAGGTCACATTTGGCCCAATCAAGATTCATCTTTGACTTTAGACACCCCAGCCCCACCCCCTTCATCAACTGTAACAATCTTTCACAACATGCACCTGGTCTCCCCTCCCTCTGCCCCCCTCCCCACGGGAACTCGACATTTCTCAAAGAATATGTACAGTTATGGCCCAAAACACATTACACCACATATTGCACACGTGCATGTGTGAGTTCAGGTTCAAGTGTTTAGACATTCAATTACAACAGGATTGTATGGTTATGAATGCATTATAAGTTAGTTATGATGTAGTTAAAACAATATTGGATGATAGTCATTTTTTTTTTGTGTGTTTTGGACTGAGATAAATCATGGGTCAACATTGACCCGCGAACACCATGAACGGTAACCGCTTTTGAACACAACACTGAATAATTACCCTGAATTCTCATAGGGGAAGGTACAAAAATGACATTTATACAAAACAATCACTCAACGCAGAGCAAAACAGTAACTGGATTGTCACACGGATTTTATTAAACAAAGTCACAACAGTAAGACAAAAGATCACAGATCACAGTATGCTGGTCTCAAACCTTTATTTAACCAGATTGGTCCCATTGAGATCATAGATCTCTTGGGTGGTGTCTTTGTTTTTCCTGAGTCATAGATAGTGTGACACATTTGGAAGTGTTTCAGGTCCATAGTACAGCCTCCTCCCTGAGGTACTTTCCACACAGGTATTTGTCGCATTATTAAATGTCGTACTGTAAACTGCTACAACACAAAGAACAGCACAAACATGAATTCCCTTTTTGATGGAGCGAGCTCAAAGACAAACAGCATGTTTATGTGGTGGCTGGATATGAGAGATATCACTTGGTAGCTGGTGGTTACAGAGAGGTAATGAAGTGGTAAACATTATTAGTGACCTGCTCGTCATGCCACCTGCCTCGCAAGATACAGTAAGTTGGAAAGTACAGTGTTTTTCTGGTTTGTAGACATCATTGCCACTGACTTCAAGAAAACTCATCTGACATTTCCAGCTTCCTCTGAGTCTAAGGAAGCGGTCAAGGCATCCGGAAAAGTCAACTTGCACTGTCCTCTCGCCTTGTTTAAGGGGACATAATATGCTCATTTTCTGGGAATTGAAATGTTGTCATAGTCTCTCTAAATGTACCTGTCTGATGTTGTGTTAGCACATTTTTTTTAAAGCCCCCTGAAAATGCCTGCTCTGAAAAATGTGGTAAACCACAATGGTAGTTCTCCAGCTGTTTGTGGAGGTATTCAATCGGGATGTGGTATATTCGAATGAGTCTCCATCTGACAAAGAAAGGGAAGCTAAATCTGAATGGCTTGTTGAATCCCATGATTTCTGATGTAAGCAGCCCACAAAAAAAGTGACTGGGTTGTCTTATGTCACAGTTTGTGTGTTGACAGGCACTCCAGACACCATGTCTGTGCACAAGGATTGAAAATGTGAGTCTTTCATGATATGCCCCCTTTTAAAACTTCAAAGTCAGCGGCTGGATAAGGCAACATTTGTGTAGTACCACAGTAGTTTAAACAAGAAAGCAAACATGTGAAGTGTAAGAAAGCTAGCTAACAGAGAATGTGGTCCATAATCTTGAGAGTGCAAAATGTGTATGGATCTACAGTGGTTGGAAAATAAAAACGGGAACACCTTAAAAACATAACACATCCAATACAACAAGAAAATTCATCATGGTCTATATTCTGTTAAAAACAAATGGTATCATAAGTTGTTATTGAATATGAAATCATCTTCATGCTGGACTCCTGGGGCCAAAGTGGTTATCAAATATTTGGTAGATATTTTCAAATATGTTTAAATATGAATGAAGGTCTAACGATAAAGCATCAACTACTCAATAATCTGATTGATTGTGATAATAGTACTCTGGGTAATAAGCGTTTGCGACCTGCAGGGCTGTTGTGTTAGATAGCATTATAATATCAACTGTGTTTACATTCACACCGGAAACCAGATTAGTGATAGGATGCAGATGGGACCAGATAAACCAGTACACCAGATACTGTCACATGATTTCTTCCCTTCTGACAACAGATACAGGTCCTGCCAACTAAGGTGGTTCCTCAAGAAGAAAACAATTTCACGTGTCAGGTTGTTTTGAGAGTGTAGTGATGGCCTGAGGCTGGAAAAGGCATACGTGTTCAGTGCATGTTATTCAAGGTGTTCCTGTTATTTTAACTAATTTCACTATAAAGCATCTCATTGTTCAATGCATGTGTGATTATAGTGTTCATGAGCAAAGCACAGTGGAGGATTACAGAAAAAATCATTAAAATCTCCCAGAATTTGTCCAGGTATTAAAATAAGATCAGCTAATTGTAAGACTGAGGTCTGACACTGTTACTGTTTCGATCGGAAGTAGAGTTTCTTGGTGAGCATTGAAGCAAAGCAGGGTACTTGCTTCTTCCCGATGGCATTCCGGTCGTTAGAATTCCCAACACTCCTCATGGACACCTTCCTGTTGACCAGCGTGAGTAACTCTGTGAACTCCAGGGTGTTCCCATACCTTTGAAGCAGCTCACACAGATCCTGGACATACCAGGAGCCGTTAACGGTCTCCCGGTGGGAATAGTATCCTTAACAAACAAAAGGGGACAGGGCAGGATTGTTATTGATGAACAGCAGAAAGGACTTTCAAAATGACTTAAATGTACGGTGGCCCTGAGAGCTCAACGCATGGCAAATGGCCAAACAAGCAAATAAAGAAAACCCGTTCACCAATTTGAAAATGCTTCTCTTTTTTACTTGTTTTAAAATAATTGAACAGTAGGAAATATATGTTGTGACAACCTTGAAAGAAACTAAAGCCAGCTCACATAGCATTTAAATTAATCATGTGTAAATCTCAGGGTGATTTATATTGGCAGACCTTAAATGAGCAGAAGACCTATTTTAAGTTAAGAACAGATATTTGCAAAAATATCATGATCACATTGTAAAATAATAAAAAATGTCCTCACTAATTTAAGATTATATAACAATGTTTTTTTGCAGTGTGTGTTTGTGTTTTTTTCTTGTGTCCTCAATCGTTTTTTTTTCTCGAATCTGGCCTTGTGTTTGAAATTGATAAGAATGTTTTATCTATTTGCATGTGTTTTGTTACTTTGCAGTTTGATGAGCTCTCAGGGCCACCGGATAAATGTCTTACATAATTCACTCAAGTAGAATTCCTGTTCAACACCTACAGTTTTTAAGTTTGAATGAAAGTTAGTCATGACAAAGCAGGACAGGATTCATGGGAAACCAATATCCTGATGATGTACAGTTGTGTTGAGTCAACTGTACTTTGGCCTCGTACAATAAATATGATTTATTTACAACGTAGTCTACAACTTCTTGTTTCACTTCTGCTTTGGTATGTGGCAAGACAATTCTCAAGAAATTTGAATGCTTAATGTGAATGTACCCATCACGTTGAGACAAGAGCAGATTAAGAGTTTCAAAAAACATCCCTCACCTTCAGCCACGGAGTAGCACATGATGAAATCTGCCCCGGCAGGCAGTGTGTGCACGGCGCTGGCGTCTACCACCACCTCGTTAGTCTTCAGCTCGCTGTCCACTGCGTCACAGGCAGTCACTGGATCGTCATGCTTATCTCCACGGCACGCCTAGTGACAGACACAGCCACGTTAACCTTCAATGCATTTTTAACTGTCATTTTCAGATGGATCTGACTGTGTTGTGTTTGCACGTACCTGTAGTATGAAAACCTTTGGCTTTCCCACGAGGCTCTTGCACTTGTCTCCTTTGAACATGGCGGTGATATCCTGAATGCTGATCTTTCCGTCGTGGGTGTAAACGTGATCATTTTCACCATGGCTCAGGAAGACAAGCAAAAAGCAGTCTACGTCTGAATGGTTTTCCTCAGCGGCTGGTGAGACATCAGATATGTGTTCAAATCATCAATGAACAAGTAAAAGACGCCCATGTTTGGTCCTAACTTTGCATATAAAGGACAACAAGGAAGCTCATAAGAAATGAAATGTCAGTAATGATACTGTGCTGCTGCCTGTATACACATTTAATAATTTGTGTGTCATAGGTGATCATGCATGTCTTACCTTCACTGATCTTATCGTAGACTTCCACTTGTTTGTAGTTATCATAAGCCCTCACTTCGAAGTTCAGATCGTTCAGTCTTGAAGAGAGATGAAGAAAAGTCTCATAAGTTGCAGAACAAGTACAGACATGTTTTTTTTAAAGCAGTTGCAGAATACAGTGTTCCCTCTCCAGCAGCCGGCTGTCACGTGATACCTTCTCTCCAGGTTGTAGCGATCAGCGTTGGTTCCATGCCTGTCGTTTAACCCCAGGCGCCAGAAGAAGCGCTCCTGGTTAAAGATCAGGGCAAGGCCTCGTTTTTTGTGGTCCATCTTGTATTCCTCTGCAGGATCCAAAGCCAAAGAGCTGTTTCATAATGAGAAAACAGCATTAGGTGGAGTACAGTGGGGAGGCGTGAATATCCCGCGTGTACCCACACAAACAAAAATAAAACAGTTTACCTTCGGATGAAGGCATCAGTCTCTGTTAGGTTCTCCGTGCACGCTATTAAATAAAAGACAGTCAATTATGCATGCAACGATTAAAAAAAATATTTACTGAAAAATAATGTATAAAAACCTGTTAAAAAAAAGATCACAATTACTAATTATAAAAATACAGAGGAGGATTGAGCTGTTCAGGCTTCTTTGTCACGCAGCACAGCTACAGGTGCATGAATTGCTCCACTGCTGCGGGGTGGGGTCAAGCAGCCATTGTTCCATTAGCTTTGAGTGCTCGTTGCCTTCAATGGCTGAGTGACAGGTGGAGAAAGATGGAGTGCCACCTCCATAACCCACCCTACAGATATGTAGCTTAGACTTTGTGAGCGAAAGGCAGCTGTTTTTTTTACTTGTAAAGGCATTATCTGACTTCAGTGAATCAGTATACATAGATCTGCTTTCATAGAGGTAGTTTATTAGTTACACCAAGTAAACCATTGCAATCTAATACAAGTTCTGCAATAAAGTCATACCTTAATTACCATTATAATGTTCAGTTTTCTTTTAAAAGCGTTATTGAAATGTAGCTTGAACTTCACGGTCATTTTGGATACTATACACAGAGCAGTGTTTCTTATACTAAGTGCAACGTCATTCATTAATAAATTGGGTAGACAAAATATAATGCAATGTAATGTATAAGAAACACCTGCCAGTATAAAAATACAACTCAACAGCCCAACAAATACAGCACCTCCGCAAAACATCCCTAACATAAAATCGATATTATTGATGGATGAGTATTTGGTTTAGTGCTTTTGTAAAAAGACCATAGTCATTTTAGCTAGGTCTACCAAAAAGACATATACAGTATGATGATGGCTGGGCTGTCTCGTCTACTGGAGTTGTCACTCTTTCCCCCCCCCCAAAAAGGATATGCCAAAACCACATCCTGTTAAAATCAAATACAGTAAAGATTAATAATGACAGTTTATGATTAATGTCGTAAAATTGAGCTGACTGTTGTCTGGCTTTACTGATAATAACACTGTACAACTTTAATCTTTTTGTTTCACTTTTGCTTTTTTAAAGTTGTATACAATTATCAAGAACATGTTATAATAGCACCAGTCGTTAAAAAATTGTAATATTATAATGTTCAGTTTTAAAATTGTGTTTTTTTTGGAGTATATATATATATATATATTCAACATAACGGAGATTTTCAATGCTATACACTGAACAATGTCAATCATAGATGCATTTGGGTTAAATTGGGTGGACAAAATATAAGAAACACCTGCCACTTAAACAATACAAATCAACAGCCAACAGCCCCTTTGTAAACGAGACTTAACCTGAACTGAATAGAGTTCATGATAGCATTGCAGGGCTGTTTTATTCAACTTTATTTGAGTTAATGATTATTCTCATAAAAAATAATTGACTGTACTTTGGCTTCACTGATAATAAAACGTACAACTATACACTGTTTGTTTTACTGTTGCTTTGTTAAAGTCATATACAATTATTACCAAGTATCAAAGTATCAAGAAAATGTAATAAAAGCACAAGAGATTTAAAAAATAGGAGGCCTTTGTTACTTATAGTAAAACACTCACCCGCCCTGTCTGTTGCTGTTTGGTTGCATTGTGCAACACTTCCTGGGAAGGTGAGAGAAAAAGCGATTATTTAAATGTTTTAATAAACATTAACAACCTGCCTCACATGTTGTACTAACTTGCTGACTGACTGAAGGTAGAGAAAACTGACAATAAAGGTGTGGCAAATGTAAGAACATAGTAAACCACAGTAACGTCAAACAGAGCTTCACTGTTGAAAGTTACATCGTACATTAAAAGTCATTGTATGTACTTATCTAACTTTTTTAATGACTCAGGCACAAGTCCACAACTTATAGCTACTTGTACTTTTAAAAATATATGTAAATTGGTTACCTCCACTTGCGTCTTGTGCCGTGTTTGACATGTTCACAGGTAGTCTTCACTCCACTGACACCACTGAAAAATGAATATGCTTCGTCAAAGCTACATTGATGAGCAAGGATGTCGCTCCTCCCCCTCTGAATCTGATTGGCTGAATGTCTAAAAGCGGAGAACACGATTGGCTTTTACGGCTGTCAGTCAAAGGTCAACAGCCAGGACTTCCGTGTTTGCCACATTGCACCAGCGGCTTATCAAATTCTTAAGTACAGGGATTTAATACATCTTAAATAATGAAAGTAAGATTAGGGCTGGCGCAGCCGAAGATTAGTATAGTTAATTATCTAATCCAGACTTTCTTCAGAGACATCCTCACACATTATTTTCTTTAAAGATTTGATGAATAGGTTTAATTTTCTCTCGGATGATGGATCAATGGGAGCTCATTCAAAGACCCAATTGGAATACACTTTAAGTGCCTCTCGTATAAGAACAATTTACACAAACTAAATAACGCCCTTAAAATGTATATGATTACAGTTGACACAAATATATCTAAGAAACCCACATCAATACATTTCTCTACATGTTTTCTTCAGTGTTGTAGCTTACATCATTTGCCTTCACTTTTGCCCCATGAGATATTTCCCAGATATTTCATTAATGTAATAAAGTAAATAAACCAAACAATTTTAGATGATGTAGATGGAAGCACCCTGAAAGCCAGAGAAATAATGTGAAAAGCATGTTCAAGTATTAACAAAATATGCATTAACTGCATATGAAATACATCAATTATCCACTAGGTATTTTCACACAGCACATAAGCGTCAGTGCAAGCTAAGATAAACTCATGAGAGAAAAGTGTATTGCTGGCATCCTTTTGCCAGTGCTTTGCTTTTGAATCAGTCTATTCCACAGTATTGATCCTGTGTCACAGTTCCTTCCTCGTTTCATACTGACATCTACAAGACTCCCTCTGGCTGTCCAGGTACCCTGCTGAAAAAAACAGCTTAGACCAACAAGGCTGGTCTGGCTGGTCAATATTAGGCTGGATTAGTTTGCTGGTTTAGAGGGGTTTTGGACACTTTAGCTGGTCAGGATAGCTGGTTTGGTCACAGTGGTCTACACCATTAGCTGGTAGGGATAGCTGGTAAAAGCTGGTGGTCACAGTGGTCTAGCTGGTCAGGATAGCTGGTTTGGTCACAGTGGTCTAGCTGGTCACCATTAGCTGGTCGGGATAGCTGGTTTAGCTGGTAAAAGCTGGTGGTCACAGTGTGCTAGCTGGTCACCATTAGCTGGTCAGACTGGTATGATCTTGAGTAGCACTTTAGCTGGGATTACTTGATGGTTAAACTGGTCATATATGATGATGAAACACTCTCACCCAATTGCAGTAGCTCAATGAACATCTATCATTTCAGATCAGAGCACCTACCTTACCAGAAAGGTACCAGAATGTATAGAATGTATTGTCTGTAAATAAATACTCATACATCAAATGATTAGAAGCAGGAACATAATTTATAACACACAATGAACATTAACACACATTTGAAAACATTTTCAAAACACCCATTACATCATATTTTTAAGCAGTTTCCTTCAACTGTTTCTTTCCGCTTTTCACAAGGTCCTGTATTTTTTGTGAAATGTAGTAACCGGCCAACTTCTCCCTCTCGGTCTTCTCCACGTTTTGTGAATTCAGCCATCCTCTGAAGCACTCTTGAAAAGAGAAAGGAAAAACAGATGAACTTTTAGCTTTGTGTTATGATTACTTAATAAAGTGGACCTATCATGCTATATTTGAATAATATAGTGTAGGACCATACCTATATAAGGCATATTTATACTTTTTTTTTTTCAAAATACCAAACAGATAATGCATTTTAGCCATGTCTCATTTTGCTCAATTTGACATTTTTTAGCTCTGTTTTTGCAAGGGCAGATTCTGTGAGAACAGCACCATCTACAGGCCTGGCATATGTACTACAACGTCTCCAGCGCTTTCGAACGGCAATGGCCGTGGCTGTCTCCTCCTGATTGGTGGAGTTGGCCCAATAGCCGTAGCGCCACTGTCCTGACGTCAGGACAGTGTTCAAATCTGGATCAGTTTTTATCAGATCCGTTGCAGCCCCTATTTTTAGAGATTTGGGTATGGAGGAAAATAGAGAGGGTTGTGTTTTCTGACACTTGGTGAGTTCCCTGGAACACCGGGGACACATATTCATGTATAAAAGACGTACAAAAGTGCATTTTGCATGATAGGTCCCCTTTAAATATGTGCACTGTGAGATGAAAAAGAAAAATGTATCAAATTTAGTTTTGAACATTCACTGTGATTGGGTCTATTATCCACGCAATACACCGTATTTAATTTTTTTCTTAATTTACATTATTTAATTTCATATTCTGTTCTTGTAAATATCATATTCTCTTATATTACATGCATATAAACTTTTTGCACTACTTTTTATTTTGTATTTTTGTATTTTATTATATATGTTGCATTGTTGGAGGAGCTCAGGTCAGAAGAATTTCATTGACATTTCTACACTGTAGCTGCTGAGCATATGAGAATAAAACCTTTGAATCTTGAATCCAACACTTTTTTCAGTGGAAAATCCTAAATTGTAGGATTGTTTGGCCATAATAATGCTTTATGATTACATTTCTAGTGAGAAGTGTATATTTTACTTTCAGAATCTACCTCCAGTGGATGTGTAGGATCTACAGTATGATAGATATATTACTTTACACCCGGAAGTATGTATTGTCATTCTTATTGTCGATAAATTGAGGGATACACGCTATATTTTATTAACACCAGTATGTACTTTATACATCCACCTCGAGTGTTTGTCTCTGCACCGGAAATAATTTAATTTTAAAGTTCAACCGCATATTATATAGACTATATCAGCGCCACACCTGCGTAACACATGGTGCCTCTTGTCTGAACTATTTTTTAAGCGATTTGGAATCTATTCTTGTCGACTTGCAGCCTAAATACAAAGATAACTCCACTCTCCTACCACTGCTTACCTCTAATGAGCCTTGGTAGAACTAGTGTCCCGAGTCATGGGGTCCAGAACTGACTGAAGACATGTGGAACAGAGGACAGGCATGGTTCGATGTACAGGAAACTGGAACTTTGAACAGGTGTTTTCATCTTTTCTGCCTGAAGATTCACAAGTTCTTGATCAGGTGTTTGATGTGGGCTGGCATGATCCTTTCTGCAGCGATGAATAAAGAAAACAAAGAAAACAGTATTAATAATAGTAATGATGGTAACAACAATAATATTAGTATAACTATTTATATAGCACTTACACAATTGCAAAGTGATTCTCACAACAAAAATAAAGAACAAAACAATATCAACAATAAAAAAACAAATTATTATAGGAATGTTAAGAGACAAAGAAATTATAAACATTCTGAGAGGCCGACTACAAAAGGTAGACTCAATGGCTTTTGATGACATCAATGAGCAGTCCCAATACATGCTGTTGTATAAAAAGAAATAGAATAGGTCCAGATTTCTTCTATTTTGTGTTGGATGATTTGTTTTATTGATTGCTGATGGATGTATATATATATATAGGGTTTATTCAACAGCAGTAAAGCATTAAGTTGCTAAATTAACGTACACTGAACTGTAAAACAACTTACCACTATTTAGGAAAGGCTCTGATCAGAAGGGTTGACTAGTAGGACAGCAAAGAGGTGGAGGAGGTATATGTCATGTACAACCATTGGTAGATGTTACACCTGAAAGAAAAATAAGTGAGTTAGTTAGTTAGTGAATTGTCCGACCGGCCCACTTCGGTACCGGCCCACCGGGAAAACTCCCGGTATTCCCAATGGCCAGTCCGCCCCTGTGTGGGCCTAATAAAGGTATTCTGATTCTGATGAGGTTATACACAAAAGGTGAGCTTGTTCCAAACAGGTAGGCCTACTTTTTTTTCTAAGAAAATCATAAAAAATGCCTCGAGCAGTGTCACAGCAGTATCACAGCAGCATCACAGCAGTATCACAGCAGTATCACAGCAGCATCACAGCAGTGAGCAGTATCACAGCAGTATCACAGCAGTCAGGTGGCAGGACAGGTTGGATCAGAATCTAAATATCTATTCCCAAATGTAAAACTTGGGACATTTTCAAATATTCAAATTTAACTTAAATTTGACAAGAAACTAATTATTGTTGCGAGTACATTTTAAAGAATAAAGTAATATAAACGTGTGTTACAATATCCAAATGTATAGTGTTATAAGTTCTCTCCACCATGCCCTCTGCTGGTTTCAAAGAAAAGAACATATGCAATCAAATTATGAAAAAGTATTATAAATCTCTGCTTTGTTTTCATATTAATATTTGATTTTTTATTAATATTCTGATAATGATCCTATAAAATATATTTGCTTATAAAACGTTGTTACCGTCATTTGCACTTAGTGGTACATTTTGAAAAAGAGCTTACAATACTCTGGGCTGTACAATCTGAGAGGAGCAAAGGTGAAGATGTTTCTTGTTCTGTCACACTCATTTTGCTCTCAGAGATAACATCAGCACAATATAATGGCCTAATGGTAAGCTCAAAGGGTGACACTGTATATCTTCTTGCCACCAGGTGTTTCATAAACTCAACATTCATTATGTTTGTCCATAGTTTAACACATAGAGGAATGAATTATTAAGCTATTGATTTTGATGTGTGCCAGTAAGCCATTATTAATGATACAAGTCTTAAAACACAGCCCCCGAAGAATGTACAAACGAAAAGAAGCTGACTTAATATTACTACACATATAATGACACAATCCATCATCGATCCATCACCATACAAGTCAAGTGCTACATACAGGAGCATAACATTGTGTATTCCCTTTACGGATAGTTTTCTTCCAGTCTGGATTTTCTGTTTCTTGTTTATTGGCAGACACACATTGGAGACACCCAAAAAGAACAAACCCAACAAATGTTTTTAGATGTAGCTGGGATTTTGCATCCTCCACTTAGAGTATGATACAAGAATTCCTTGCTATACATTGAGCAGTGTTTCTTATACTAACTGCAACATCACTCATTAA